GGGGTACCCGAGCTGTGGGCGGAGAAGGACGAGTCAGGGAGGGGCCCTGAGGCAGGCCAGGGCCCCAACCGCTTTGATTCTTCACTCTCTGCTCCTGTCCTGAGTTTGGAGCCTGGAGTTTGGAGACACGCCTGCCATGTACAGTTGTGCAGGCTGTGGACAGCCCAACCCTAGAATTATTTTACTGACTCTCCTTCGTCCTAAGTTACCCTTTCTTCAAACTTTAAAACCTTTCTTTAAACTCTACCAGGGACAGACTGTCCCCCGTCCCCACTCTCCTCTCTCCAAACAGTAATTGGATAACTTCACATACGGTTTTGAGTGACTTCCTTGCTATATGCCACCCAAACTTCAGGAACCAAACCGACTTCCCAAACACTCCGCTATCTGAGCTCCCATCAGCCAAATGCGGGAAAGAATTAGATACAAGGATACCCGTATTCACTATGGTAATTTCTTGACAGGTGAAAATAAAGAGAAGGGGACCCTTTTTCTAACTCTCTCAAGATGCTGTGTAGGCTGTGGGGGTCCCACGGCCCCAGGACCCTCCTCCGGGTCCTCTCACCCTCCCAGTCCTGACAGCAGGGGCCAGACTGCCAATTTCTGTCCTCCCGGGGACCCCAGGTGCAGCCTGCATCTCACAGAGGAAACCCTGCCTGTGGCAAAGGCCATCTTCCTGTATTGCTCTTGGTAACCAAGCCCCTAAAAGTCTGTGCCCTGCATATGGCTGCCCAGCCAGAGACTACATTTCCCAGTCTCCCTTGCAGCTAGGAATGGTCACATGACTAGGCCCCAGCCAATGAAACGTACAGAAGTGCTCGGTGCCATTTCTGGATCACGCCTTTAAAAAGGATGCTGCTCACCCTCTCTTCTCTTTCCCCACTTCTTGTTGGCTGGAAAAAGGTGGCAACTGGCACAACAGCCTCAGTCCCAGAGCTGGAGCCTCATGTTAAGACTGGCAGAATCAATCTAGGTCCTTGGAGGACTCTGCTGCTCTCTCTCTGGATGGGGACATCACAGAGGACTAAACCTCCCTCTTTTTCTGAGTCGGGGACTCACTCTGTTGCCCAGTGCTGGAATACAGTGGCGTGATCACAGCTGACTGCGGCCTCAACCTCCTGGGCTCACGTGATCCTCTTGCTTCAGCCGCCCAAGTAGCTGGGACTACAGGTGTGTACCACCAGCCCCGGCTAATTTTTTGTAGAGATGAGGTCTCACTATGTTGCCCAGGCTGGTTTTGAACTTCTGGGCTCAAGCAATCTTCCCACCTTGGCCTCCCAAAGTGTGGGGGTTACAGGCGTGAGCCACTGCACCTGGCCTTAAATCTCCATCTTATTTAAGCCATTGTACCTTGGGGTCTTTTTGTTACAGCAGCTGAGTCTATAATCTAAGTGATCCACTGTCTCTTGACCAGAAGAGGAAGGCCATGTATTCCAGTGGTTACAAGTACAGATTCTAGAGTCAGTCTGGAATCTTTGACTCACCAGCTGTGTGACCTTGGACAAGTTACTTAACCTCTCTGTCCCTCATTTCCTGAGCTGTAAAATGGAGATATTAGGATCTACCTCCACTTGAGAGCTGTTAGGGGCATTAGCCCAGTTAATCTACACAGAAGGATGGTACATGGTCATGGCTTGATGATCGTTCACTATTATTATTTTTAGTTAATAACCACCAAAAACTCTTAGTGATATATGCCCACTATGCTTCAGACCCCGTGTCAAGTGCAGGACACACCTGGTCTCTACTGGATCGATCTAATGGAGCCTGGGAGCAGACAGCACCATTTTACAGAGGAAGAAACAGAGGCTCAGAGAGTTGCCCAGAGTCATCGTGCTAGCAGAGAGTGTAGTCAAGAGTTGAACTCAGAACCGAGCAGTCCCAGAATCGTGGCTGTCGACCACCTAAGAGAACACCTGCATCCCTTATCAGAGCACCCCGGAGTGTGCCTCGGTGTCAGCCACCAGCATGCCCGACAGTCCTGGTGGGTGGCAGCACCCCCATCTGGGAGGCCGGTCCCACCCCAGGCTTATACTGGGATGTGAATCAATCCCTTCCCCTTCTGCACCCCAGCCAGTCTGAACTGGTTTCCTTCCCTTGCCAGCTGGAAGAGACCTCACAGACTCAGGCACACAGGTCTGAAAACCAGCCAACCAGATGATGTGCAAGCTGTGACATTCTAGGGCTTGTCTCACGTTCTAAAAACGGATCATTCAAAAAATCGACTCAGGTTCCCAAGGCCTGTAGGCGGTGAACAGGGCAGACTGCCTTCCTGGTGCTGATGACTAATTAATAAAGAGGGAGGATTTTCAGGGGGTACCTGGGTCAATGCTGCCAAGGGAAGGGCAGAGACACATACCCTCGAGCCCTCCCCACCTTGCTGCTGTCCGCTCTGTACCTGTTTTCTTTGCCATTGGCCAACAGCGACGGGCGCTCAGCCCCAGGGCGTTCTGTGCAAACGTAGGTGTTTCTGCGGGTCATCATGCTGGGAGGAAGGTTGTTCTGCAGAAGACGTGGCCGAGAAGGGGGTGAGGTGAGGCCTCGCCTCCCCCCCAGCTCTTCCCTCTCCCCTCCCCCATGAGGAGTGACTCAGGGGCCTGTGTGGGAGCCAAGAGCGAGAAGATAGCTTAAAGGTCCCAAAGACGGAAAAGTTCTCGAGATCCCAGCCACCTAGGCCGAGTCCAGGGAGACCATGGATGCTTGAGGAGAGGTGGGCACTGAGGGAGGAGGGGGAGGGAAGGTTCCCGGGGCACCCTCGTCCATGCCCCCCTCTCCCCAAAATGCCTGCTCTCGCAAGGCAGTGCTGCCACGCAGAACCTGGTGTTACGTGTCTCTTCGCCTAGCCTTTGCACCGGCTGTCACCTGCTAGAACGTTCCTCCCACCTCTTCCCCTGACTCACTCCTACAGATCTCTCAGGTGTCAGTTCATAATAGACCCCCAGGCTGAATCAGGTGCCTCCTCTGGGCTCCCACAGGGCCCTGGGCGCCCTGCTGCAACCTCGATCACTGTTGCCAATGTGTGTTCGAAAAAAGGTTCCCACCTCACATGGGCTGTGAGCCCAGTGAAGATGAGGTAGCAGGATTAAGGTGCTTCGTAAATGTGCTGGGAAAAGAGTCCTCTTTTTCAGTTCTCTGGAAGTTTTTCTAAGATTGGCATTATTATTATTATTTTAAATTATAGATTGGTATCATTTCCCTTTTAAGTGTTTAGAAGAATTCTACCAAGCCTAGAATTTTCTTTATGGGGAAGATTTTAAATTATGGATTCAATTTGTTTAATGAGAAATTGTTCAGGGTTCCTATTTCCTCTCATGTCAGTTTTGATAAATTGCATTTTTAAAGAAATGTGTCTATTTTCTCTAAGTTGTTAAATTTATTGGCATACAATAGTTTCTAATATCTTGCTATCTTTTTATGTTAAAACAAACTCCTTTTCTTTTCTTTCTTTTTTTGAGTCAGGGTTCCACTCTGTTGCCCAGGCTGGAGTACAGTGGCATAATCATGGCTCACGGTACCTCAACCTCCTGCCTCAGCCTCCTGAGTAGCTGGAACTACAGTCAAGTGACACCACACCCAGCTCATTTTTTTTCTTGTAGAGATGAGGTCTCGCCATGTTGTCCAGGCTGGTCTCGAACTCTTGGGTCCAACTGATCCTCCTGCCTTGGCCTCCCAAAGTGCTGGGATTACAGGTATGAGCCACAATGCCTGGCCTAAAGTCCTCTTTTTCATTTTGAACACTGGTAATTTGTGTTTGTTGTCTTTTTTTTCCTTAATCAGTCTTTGGCATCTCAAAGTACTGGGATGACAGGCGTGAGTCACCACACCCGGCCAGGGTCTTAAAAGATCCTTACAAAAACCATCCAGGTTCTTCTTCTCCTTTTTTTTTTTTTTTTTTTTTTTTTTTAGTCAGAGTCTCACTCTGTTGCCCAGGCTGGAGTGCAATGGCATGTTCACAGTCACCGCAGCCTCGACCTGCTGGGCTCAGGTGATCCTTCTGCCTTAGCTTTGCAAGTGGCTGGAACTATAGGCATGCGCCATCATGGCTGGTTGATTTTTTGATTTATTATAGAGAGGAGGTCTCACCAAGTTACCCAGGCTGGTCTTGAACCCATGGACTCAGGCAATTCTCTCATTTCAGCCTCCCAAAGTGCTGGGATTGTAGGCGTGAGCCACCGCATCTGACCAGTTCTCTTTTTTTGTGTGTGTGTTGGAGTCTCACTCTGTCACCCAGACTGGAGTGCAGTGGCTTGCTCCCGACCACCACAGCCTCACCCTGCCGGGCTCTGGCGATCCTTCCGCCTCAGCCTTCCAAGTAGCTGGAACTACAGGCGCGTGCTACCACGGCTGGCTCATTTTGATTTATTGTAGAGATGAGGTCTCACCAAGTTGCCTGGACGGGTCTCGAACCCACAGGCTCAGGCAATCCACTTGCCTCGGCCTCTCAAAGGGCTGACATTACAGGCTGAGCCACTGAGCCTGGCCCAGTTCTTCTCTTTTTAAAAAAGTCTATAACATAGATACACTGTGCAGTGGTGAAATCTCAGCTTTTAATATTTTTATCATCGTAACAAGACATCATCTGCCCCCTCGTCCCCTCAGCCTTCTGAGTCTCCAGCGTCCATCATTCCACACCCTACGTCCATGGACAACACTGTTTAGCTCCCACCGATAAGTGAGAACATGTGACATTTGTCTTTCTGTGTCTGAGTTGTTTCCCTTAAGATAATGGCCTCTGGTCCCATCTCAGGCTCTTCTTTTTCTTTTGAGTTAGAGTCTCACTCTGTTGCCTGGATGAGTGCAGTGGCACGCTCCCGGTTACCGCAGCCTCAACCTGCTGGGCTCTGGCGATCCTTCCGTCTCAACCTTCCAAGGACCCAGAACTACAGGTGGTGTGCTGCTATGCCTGGCTAATAGTTGATTTATTGTAGAGACGAGGTCTCGCCAAGATGCCTGGGCAGGTCTCGAACACGCACGCTCAGGCAATTCACTCGCCTCGGCCTCCCAAAGTGCTGGAATGACAGGCTGAGCCACCGAGCCAGGCCCATCTCAGGCTCTTTAATTAGGCCATATCACAGAGTGGAATACTGAAGCTCAGAGAGGTGAAGTCACTGCCCAAGATCAGAAGGCTCATCGCTATAATTCAAGCTCTATTCTGTGGTTTCAGAGTCCTGACTATGTGCCCAAACTACTACTACTCTTTTGCTTTTTTTTGTTTTTCAGAGATTGAGTCTGCTATGTTGCTCAGACTGGTCTCGAACTCCTGGTCCCAAGCGACCCTCCTGGCCGCCTCCGCCCTTGTGTTCCTACAATGTGACCATGTGTTCTTGAATTCCTCAGAGCTGGAACAGCCTTGGCGGCGGCAGCTCTCAAACAGCTAGTCAGTTCTGCTGTGAGGTTGGGAGTGTTGTTCCTGCAGGTTCAGCCCACTGCCTGCTCCTCCAGTCCTTCCTATGTATGCTTTCTTTTTTTTTCCCAAGTAGAGATGGGGTCTTGCTGTGCTGCCCAGGTTGTTGTCCTGGGCTCAAGCAATCCTCCTGCCTTGGCCTTCCAAAGTGCTGGGATTACAGGCATGAGCCACCACACACAGCCTCGTTTTCCTTTTGTTTAAACTACAGCCCTGCCTCGCCTTCTCCTTCCCTGGACTGTGTATCACCTTGTATCCATGTGGGCCTCAGAGGATGCCCTGCGGAGCTCAAGGTCTCAGGACTGGGAGAGGAGCAGGGAGAACGAAACCGTACTTGACCAGGTCACTCTGGACACATAGACCTCCCTGCCTCTCTCCTCTGCCACCTGTCCCATAGTTGAGTTGATGCCCTCAGGACCTGCTACCCCAAGGCCCTTCTGGTGTAAGCCAGCCAGTGAACTGTCCTTGGGTGCACCCTCTCCTGGCCATTTGGTGGGGTTTACCACCCCCATCCTCCTCCCCCCCAATGCCCCTTGGCTTCACACAGCCCTGGAGTCCTGCATCCAGAACCTAGGCGAGATGTCCTGATAGTGGTGGAAGGGTCACAGCTGGTCAAAGCTTGTCACACTATTCAGTTCGTTGCCACTGGTCACCACTGGTAACGACCAAGGCTGGATGGTCAAGGGTGGTCATGGCCTGTCAATGTCAGTCATGGCTGGTCAAAACTGGTCATGGCAGGCATGACCAGTCATTGCTGGACACTACCAACCACAGCTGAACATCACTGGCCATGGCAGGTTGAAGCTGGTCATGGCAGGTCATTGTTGGTCAAGGCTGGTAAAAGCTGGTACTGGCTGGACACTATTGGTGAAAGCCGGTCAAGACCAACTGAAGCTGGACACTGTTGGTCACAGCTGGACCTACTAGTCACCAAAGACAGGCATCCAGGACCTCCACAGAAAACACCCCCACCCAGCAAACAGCCATGTAGCAAGATCTTGGTTTGCCTCAGGTCTTTAGAACCCAAATAAACCTGATGTGACCAGTGGCACCAAGGTCACTAGAAGAAATTAAAAGAATAGACGTTTCCAAGTAGGAACGAGAAAGATTAGCTTTAAAAACAATGTCCATGACTTCCCTGTTAAAGAGCAAAACCTTATGCTAAAAATAAAACAACTACAAGCATTTTGTGTCCGTGTGGGCGGTGACTTACGCTTTTAGTTTTTCCTTTTTTTGGGGGGGGTAGACGAGATCTGGCTATTTTGCTCAGGCTGGTCTCAAACTCCTGGGCTCAAGCCATCCACCTGCCTCAGCCTCCCAAAGTGCTGGGATTACAGGTGTGAGCCACCATGCCTGGCCTACTCACGCAACCAGCTCAGTCCCGCACGGGGTCAAGGGCACAGCCATGGAGGAAGCTCCTGCACATGCGCAGAGCCAAGGGCCCAGGTGCGGTCCAGCGTGGTCACCCCGACAGCTGAGACAACTTCTGTTTCCAAAGATTTTTGAAGCACCTAATCCCCTGTATTAAATCCTCCTTACAGCACTTTCTGTTTCTGACACCGAATGCTCATTTTATACACTAGCATCAAGCATAAGCTCGGGCAGAGGGCGTCCATTGAATGAATGAATGAATGAACGAATATACAGAAGTAATATGGCATCCGATGTGATGGTCTGGGGAGCGGGATGCCAGCATGGCCTGAGCCTGTGACCCGGGAGTGTGTGCAGGCTGGCCCGCACGAGGAGGTGCCCCGGCCCTGCTCCCCAGGCCCGCCACTCACAGGGGTGCTCGTGCTGTCCTTCCGTCGCTCGGGGATCTCTGCCTTGTTGGGGTTGTGGGCGCTGCTGACCATGGGGCTGGAGGGGGGCAGCCCTCGGCTCCCACTCCCCGCGGCGCTGCAGCTCGCCTTCCGGCCGGGCAGCCGCTCCTCCTTCAGCTCTGCCTCTCCTGTGCTCGTCGGGCTGCGCTTGGGGTGCAGGGGCGTGGGGGACGGGCCACCTGGGGGAGGGGCACCAGTGAGCACTGGGATCGCCGGGGAAACCCTGAGCCGCCCCTGGGGATCCTTGGGACCTCTGAATGCCTCCCATGGGCTATGAGCTCTGTGCGGGCCATGCTGACTATGCCTGTCAACATTACCAGCGCACATGTACTGACCCAGAAACCCCAGATACATGACATGACGTACATGCGGGTCACTCACTGCATCATTTTTTTTTCTTTTAAGACTGGGGATATAGCCGGGCGTGGTAGCACGTGCCTGTAGTTCCAGCTACTTGGAAGACTGAGGCGGAAGGATCGCCGGAGCCCAGCAGGTCGAGGCTGCTGTGGCTGGGAGCGGCCACTGCACTCCAGTCTGGGTGACAGTGAGACTCCAACTCAAAAAAAAAAAGACTGGGGATAGCCTAAACGTTCCTTAATAGGGGTGGCTAAATAGGTCAAGGTATTTCCACATGGTGGAATACTACGCAGCTATAGAAAAAGACAAGGAAGTGTTTTATGAATCAATACAGAATGATCTTCACGATAAACTAAAATAGAAAAGGCACAAGGATGGTCTACAATGAGCTATCATTTGTACAAAAAAGAAAAGCATATGTCTCTATGTGACACAAGATTTTCTTGTGTCTACTTGCTTGTGTATGAATATTTCCAAAAAACTATCCTTTGTATCGGAAGGGGAAAACATATGTATTGTTTTTATATATCCTAATCTTCCTTTCTTCTTTCTCTCTCTCAAGCCTTCTCTTTCTCCCTCACTCTCTCTTCCCATACCTATCTCTTTATATTATATATATTTGTTTGTTTTTTTGGGGTTTTGACTTGGAGTCTCACTCTATCACCCAGACTGGAGGGCAGTGGCACGCTCCCGGCCACCGCTGCCTCGACCTCCTAGGCTCCGGCGATCCTTCCACCTCAGCCTTCCGAGTAGCCGGAACTACAGGCACACGCTACCACGCCTGGCTGATTTTTTGATTTATTGTAGAGATGAGGTCTCGCCTAGTTGCCCAGGCAGGTCTCGAACCCACAGGCTCAGGCAATCCACTCACCTCAGCCTCCCAAAGGCGCGGGATTACAGGCTGAGCCACCGAGCCCGGCTTATTTGTTTGTTTTTTAAAAATAGAGTTGGGGGTCTCACTGTGTTGCCCAAGCTGGTCTTGAACTCTTGGCCTCAAGTGATCCTCCTGCCTCAGCTACCCAAAGTGCTGTGATTACAGGCATGAATCACCACACCTGGGCCATGTATTAGCATATGAATACAATCACTCCAAAATAATTCATATAAAACTGGTACAATGGTTGTCCTCCAGAACCTAGGGACTGGGGGATACATGTTGGAAAAAGATTTTTTCATTGTCTCCCCTCTTTATACTAACACATTTTGAATAATGTGATTGTATTAACACTTTCAAAAACAAAACCATACAAATCTAGCTCTTTGGACCCCTTTAGGGATCTACTGTTTTAGAACCAGGGAGTGAAAGTGTTCTTGAACTTCAAACAATCAGAATGTCTGCATGTTAAATCCTGAGGTTTTTTTTTGAGTCAAGGTCTTACTCTGTTGCCCAAGTTGGAGTGCAGAGGCACAATTACGGCTCACCGCAGCCTCAACCTCTGGGTTTGGGCGATCCTTCTGTTTCAGCCTCTTGAGTAGCTGGGACTACAGGCATGCACCATCACACCTGGTTAATTTTTCTGATGTCTTATAGCGACGAGATCTTGCTACGCTGCCCAGGCTGGTCTCATCCTCATGTGCTCAAGTGATCCTCCTGCCTCAACCTCTCAAAGTGCGCTGGGATTACAGGTGTGAGCCACGGCACCTAGCCAATCCTCAGGAGCTTTGATGATCAAAAGTCCTAGAACCACAGCCTGAGAGCTCTACCATGACAACAGTAGACACCGGGCACCCCCCACACTCCTTCACTCAAGAACCCTGGAACCCAGACCACAAGTGGGGATTTCTGAAGGCAACCAAGTTATAACCATACGATATTGGCAACACAAGCTCCTTAGGAACTTTCTGGGCCAAGCTCCTTATGTTATAGATGGGGCAAATGAGACCCAGGGGCAGGGAATATTTGACCATTCAAATCTGGTAAAGGTGGGGCCTGGGTGGAACAAACACTTTCTGCCAGGGGCTTTGGAGAGCTTTCCTGACGCCCCTCTCTGCACCCTAGTGCCTGTCCCAAAGGAGAGACCTGCACCCCTACATACAAAGCAGGGCTGTACAAACAACAGAGAGCTGGGAAACATTCTGGAAATTCCTCAGACTGTTAAACTCACAGTTGCCATCTGACCCCACAATTCCTCTCCTAGGTGCGGGCCCAAGACAGGAGACGGCAATACACGTCCACACAAAAACATACGCATGGACATTCACAGCAGCATCACTCATAGGAGTCAAAAGCAGAAACAAAACACATGTTCATCATGGATGAATGGACAAGATGTGGTGTATCTGTGTAATGGAATATAATTCAGCAATAAAAAAAGATGAGGCCAGGTGTGGTGGCTCAGCTTGTAATCCCAGCACTTTGGGAGGCCGAGGCAGGAGGCCAACTTGAGCCCAAGGGTTCAAGACTAGCCTGGGCAACATAGTGACACCTCATCGCTACAAAAATTTTTTTTTAAAATTAGTTGGGCATGTTGGTGTACACCTGCAGTCCCAGCTACTCAGAGGCTGAGGAGGGAGGATCATCTGAGCCCAGGAGGCTGAGGCTATGGTGAGCTGTGAGCGTGCCACTGCACTCCAGCCTGGGCGACAGAGTGAGACTCCAACTCAAAAAAAAAAAAAGGATGAAGTACTGACACACATATCATGGATGAACTTTGAAGAAATGATGCTAAATAAAATAAGCCAGTCATGAAAGGTCACACATTTCATTTACCTGAAATGTTCTAGAACGGGCAAACCCATCAACACACAAAGTAGATCAGTAGTTGCCCAGGGCTGGGGCTGGGACTGGGGATTGAAAGTTGCTGGCTAAGGGTGTGGAGTTTCTTGTGGGATCCTGAAAACGCTCTGAAATTGGTTGTGGCGATGGATGGACAGCTCTGTAAATGTGTTACAGCCAAAGAACTGTACGCTTTGAATGGGTAGGTTGCAAGGTTTGTGAATTTTACCCTAATAAAGCTGTTAAAAAAACAGTGGGGAGGATGAATGTTTGATGAGGGTGTGGGTAAGAGAGCTCTCGGCAGTTTCCATGCCTAATTGGGGTGGTGGTGGGGTCTGCTGAGTTCCTGGGGTGGATGAGATGTCTGTCAGTTCCAGAATGTGGGGGGCAATCAGGTGTCTGCCCAGCCTCCTTCTACTGGGAAGGGCCTCCTTCCTTCCTTCCACTCTGAACAATGTGTCCTCCTGCGCCCCAGCTACAGTGGATTAATTCCAAATGGACTCTGACACCAGCGCTCCATCCCTGAGAAGAGGACCAAAAGGACTCCAGCTACCGTTTGGGCTGGTCTCTAAAACAGAGACGTAAGAAATCTGGGAGCTAGCCAGGGGCGGTGGCTCACGTCTGTAAACCCAGCACTTTGGGAGGCTGAGAGGAGAAGACCGCCTGAGCCCAGGGGTTCCAGATCAGCCGGGACAACATGGCGAGACCTCGTCTCTACAATAAATGAAAAGAATCAGCTGGGCATGATGGCGCATGCCTGTGGTTCCAGCCACCTGGAAGGCTGAGGTGGAAAGACCGCCTGAGCCCAGCAGGTGGAGGCTGTGGTGGCCATGAGCGTGCCACTGCACTCCAGCCTGGGTGGCAAGAGTGAGGCTCCGACTCAAAAAGAAAAAAGAAAGAAAAGAAATCT